GTACAGGTAATCACTCGTTTGTACTATGCCCCTATTTACTAACACAGTAACTTGATAAGTGAGAGTCTCTTATCATTGCCATTGTTTAGACTGTCGCTGTGGAGCTGTAATGTTATTCGAGATGCACTCACACGCCAGGCCTTTACAGTCTGTAACTGCTAGCCCATTAATTATTCCTGCATATTAAAATTCTAATTATAATAGGCTTGTTGTGGGCTTGAGTGGATGGACTCTTTTTTTTGTATTCTCATAATTTGCTGGATGTGGACAGTGGGTCCAGCTGGGCTGTTGGAGCTGTAAGATAATTAACTTCTGTGGATAGTATACCCGTTTGTCATGATAGGGAGCTCTCTCTGATAGAATATTTTTGAACATGTGGGCATTTGCCATAATAAAATATGTGTTGGTATTATAACACGGAAATATAAAAAGTTGCAAACTGCTAATTTTGAAGACTCAGTTTGCTGTGACTGGAAATGAGCTGCCAAACCTGTGTCTGCAGTTCACAGCTCTATATAATTTGATGAATGTATCAAGAGCCAAGCGGATATTAATCATTCACAGTTTTGTAGCTTAGCAGCATTGTTTAGGCACAGAGTCATAATTCATCATTTGGTAAAAACAAAACTTTTTGGTAAAAAATACCTCGTCTTTCACTACCTCATTTTTTGATCTCGTCTTTCTAATATTACATTTTTTGTCCTTTCACCCACTGCTTGTCCTCTGCGTCTCGTGTACCGTTTTTTTGTTTTCGTTTTATACAGAGTTCTTAGAAATTTGTCATTTCGCCGTTTCAGAGATGAAATGTTGCCAACGCCGGTGCCAGAGATCCAGCGCACTAATCTCGCATCGACATTATTGCAACTCAAAGCAATGGGCATCAACAACCTAATTGATTTTGATTTCATGGATGCTCCCCCAGTCGAAGCGATGATTACAGCGCTGACACAACTGCACACATTAAGTGCACTTGATAACGACGGCCTATTGACCAGACTTGGCAGAAGGGTATGGTTTGCTTTATCCTAAAGAAATAACGAAGATCAAATAGTTGCGAATATGCTTCTTGTGAACTTATGGTTTCCTGGTGTAGTTGAGCGAACAGTTATTTTTCTCTCGAGATTTTTTTGCCCTTCATGAGAGACGTACTTTTGCGATTTTCTCTTTTTTTTTTGTTCTCTGCATTAAAAGATATTGAGGTGGAAGGCGAATTTGAAGGGGAGGAAAATTTTTATAGCATTGAGTCTGATTGGGTGTGGGAAGTTTAACCACAAAAATGTTACAGCATTGAGTCTGTTTGGGCGTGGGAAGGTGTGCTTTTTTTTCTGCTTTTTGTTTCGTAGCGCAAGTTTTTGTTTACCGGAAGCCATTTATAACATAAACTGGTTGTTTTAAATTGGCGTTATTGGTGCGTGTTGGTTTACTTAATGCACTATTAGTTTATGAAATATGGCAATAGGAAATGTGGTATATTTTGTTAACAGCCAGTAGATACCGCGTGCCATCAAAGGCTAGCACTTGTAAAAAGAAAGAACACACTCGGATGCCTTTAATGAGATGAAAAACACATACGTGACACAGTTGGCGGGTACAAATCACAGACATGCAGCGCAGGACGAGAAAGCTTGTCACAGTCGAGCAGGATATGCGGGCATCCTAGTAAAACATCTGGCATCGAATCTCCATACGGATTGCTTGGGCGATCCTGACAATCTTAATATTGTTTTTAAAACATTATTATTCAGAATTACCTTTTATTTATTTTGGTTCTGATGTAATCACAGTTCAGAATGACTGTGTGAGTCTTAGTATTCGCGGCAGGATAATTGTGTATTCAAAGTTCGTGAGCCGTGTTCTTCGTATTCAATTGTTAGGTGCTAGTTATTTCTTTTTATAATCCAGTACAGTTGCCGGAATTGACTCATTTTGCATTTTAGATGGCTGAATTTCCACTGGAACCAAGTTTAGCGAAACTTCTCATTATGTCTGTGGATTTGTGTTGCTCCGATGAAGTTCTTACAATTGTTTCAATGCTTTCTGTGCAGAATGTTTTCTACAGGCCTAAGGTAAATTTTTTATAAGCTGTTTCTTAGAAGTGATGCATGCCTGCATGCCTTGTTGGAATTATGCGTCAAGCCATTGTATTTTCTTTTTAGCATTGTTTATTTGTTTCAAGAAATGTATGTAATCTAGGATAAGCAAGAAATAGCGGATCAGAAGAAGGCGAAATTTCACCAACCCGAAGGCGATCACTTAACATTGCTCGCGGTCTATAATTCC